GAGTGTCAAGTTGATTGGACTGAAGGATACAAAAAGTATAAAGGATAAAATAAAGCAGGCAGAAGAAAGTGGAGACTTGCACTTGCTGAGTCTGCTGGTAGTCATCTTTCTCCTGTGTTGGGTGTTTCCTGCCCTTCCTTGAACATCAGACTCCAAGTTCTTCAGTTTTTGGACTCTTGGACTTACACCAGTTCATTTACCAGGGGCTCTTGGGCATTCAGCCACAGACTGCAGGCTGGGCTTCCTGACTTTTGAGGTTTTGGGACTCGGACTGGCTTCCTTGCTCCTCAGTTTGCAGAGAGCCTATTGTGATATTTCACCTTGTGATTGTCTGAGTCAATTCTCCTTAGTAAATTCCTCTACATATATACATATATCCTATTAGTTGTGTCCCTCTAGAAAATCCTAATACAGTGGTCATATTGATAAAGTTCCATGTAATCTTGAATGTGATTGTTACTGTTTCGTGATTATAGGTCCAACATTGTTTAGAATTTCTATGGTCTTGTGTGTGCGTGTGAGTTTTCAGCCACTGAAATGTATTAAAGGTGAATGACCTCCGTTATGATGAAATGTATCTCTTTAGTAATGCTTCTTGTCTTACTGCATACTTTGTTCTAATAGAGTAATTAAATTAGGTTTCCTTTAGTATTTCACTTTACTACTTTCAATTTTGTGCCTTTTTAACTTTAGATTTGACTCTTAAAAGTGCCATATATAGTCATACAGTTTTGTTTTTAAGTAATCTGAAAATACTTTTGTTTGGGGTATTTAGTCCATTTACATTTAATCTAATTTCTGATATAGTTGTGTTCATTTCCACTACTTTTGATTGCAGTCCTATATGGTTTGTTTTCATCTTTTAAATATTATTCCATTTCCTTCTTCTATTTACTTGTTATGGATTCTTTTATGGATTATCTTAGAGATTACAATGTACATTAATCTTTTATCACAATACAAATTACATTCACACTTTCATGATACTGCTAAAAACATATTATTTTAACTTCATTTATCCTTTCCTTTTCCATTGTTATTGTGAACTTTAGATATGCTGAATTTTAAAATAACACGAGGCATTCAATAAATGTTTTTTGTCCATTTGCAAATATTTAAAATGCCTTCCTTGTCCATTTCCATGTCTTCATCTATGATTACTGCCCTTCATCCTGACCACAAATCTCCTTAGTTTTTCTTTTTAAAGTCTTTCTATTAAAAGCCATGGAATCTTACATTAGTGGCTATTTTCTTTTAGCATATTAAAGATGTAATTCCAAACGGAGAATGACGTCAGCAAGATGGCAGAAGAAAAAGTCTTAGGCCCTCCTTGCCCCAACAGGGACATCAGCTCAACAATAAACATACAGATATCCCATATTAGACTCTTCATCTTAATTTATTGTCTGCATTCTCCCCATTAGATGCTAAGCTCTTGGAAGGAAGCGATTTTGCTGCTTTGTTCACTGCTGTAGCTAGGGTACGTGGAACAGCCTATGGCACATTACTGGCACTGAACAGATATTTATTGAAAAATAATTAAATGGGTACAAACCAAATTATTCCAGAGAAAACACTCTTTGTGAAGTCATTTTCAAATAACAAAAAATGAATGCCCTCCAACATGATCTGTAACCATTCCTAAAATCAAACATAGCTGTTATATTTTTCTCATAACACAGATAAATCAGTTACCACATTTAGAAATATATAGCCGGCTGGGCGCGGTGGCTCATGCCTGTAATCCCAGCACTTTGGGAGGCTAAGGCGGGTGGATTATGAGGTCAGGAGATCGAGACCATGCTGGCTAACATGGTGAAACCCCGTCTCTACTAAAAATACAAAAAAAAATTAGCAGGGTGTGGTGAGTAGTCCCAGCCACTCGGGAGGCTGAGGCAGGAGAATGGCGTGAACCTGGGAGGCAGAGCTAGCAGTGGCCAGGGATCGTGCCACTGCACTCCGGCCTGTGCGACAGAGCGAGATTCTGTCTCAACAAAAAAAAAAAAAAAAAAAAAAAATTAGCTAGCCGTGGTGGCAAACACCTGTAGTCCCCAGCTACTCGGGAGGCTGAGGCAGGAGAATGGCGTGAACCTGGGAGGTGGAGCTTGCAGTGAACCGAAATCACGCCACTGCACTCCAGCCTGGGTGAGCACTCCAGCCTGGGTGACAGAAAGAGACTCCATCTCACCAAAAAAAAAAAAAAAAAAAAAAAAAAAAGAAAGAAATATATAGCCACACATTTAATGTAAATTCTTCATTTTAAAGATGCAAAAACAAACAAACAAAAAACTATAGACAGAAATGGGATGTTTTCTGATTCTTAGATTAGCATTCTACCTACAAAATTATGCTACTACTTTATTTAAGAAAATAAATTGTCTTTTCCCAAATGGGAGAAAGAACAGTACCCGCATGCAGGGAGTGATGGGAGGAAAACAAAAGAAAACAAAACAAAAAACAATAGGATGGAAAAATACACACTCTGATCCATTAAAAATAGGCCTGTCCAACATGAAGAGTTCATAGCTAAAAAAGGAGTCCAGTGGAAACAGAAGACAAACATATAAAAAGGCTCGACCTATTTTTGTTCCCCAACTTAGGAAGAAAACAAAAATATGTGAAAATGTTTACCACTTTAAAAAAGAAAAGTTTGACATTAGCTTTTATTTTAATCCCAAGATATCAAGCAAGACATTAGCTTTTTGATCATCCTTGGTGTCCATGTCAGAGTCTTCACAGCACATAACGAGCTCAGTTCTAAAGCCGAGGTGCGAACATAATACGATGGATAGGAGTTAAAAGATGAGATGGTACAACTATTCGAGACACTGGGTTCAAGCTCTAGTATCACTAGTGTGTTTAAATCTGATTCCTTAAGCCACCTAAATCTTTGCAAAGACACAGGATGATCTGCATTTAAAAATCACTTAGTTTTATTTTGCTGAATAATGCCATACACCTTGATAGACCATTTTCGATTACGTGATGGTTCAGAAACTGTGTATGAATTCAGAGAATGTTGAGACCTTAGGCTTCATAATACTGAGAATTTAATCTTTCATTTGAAAGAATAAAATCTATTCAGTGAAGTTCCAATTATAGATTTCATAATGAATTCTATTTATTGCTTCCTGGACCTGTCAATTCCATTAATGGATGAATCTCTCTTCTGAATCACAACTGAGGAAGAAATGCCACTATTTTACCAATGATATTTGTATCAGAAACAATAAGACAATGAGCCCATTCTGCTTGCATGCATTGGTCATTTTATGCACATCAATTGGGATTCTGGGAGAAATACCAATATAATAAAAATGCACATGGATATTAAGATAAAATTATATGCTTTTCATTACAGACAAATCAATGGGGGTAGCAGGAAGAATACAGCTCTGATCTTATAGTGCAATTGCTAGCAAGTGGGAGAGTAGGAAAGACATGAACCAATAAATTGTCACAATCCTACTAATCATACAAAAGCAAGATTATAAGGGCAAACACATATAATAAAAATAACTATATGCTTTGAAGTAATGTTATATTGACTAAAGTATAAAATACAAAATAAAAGAAACATATTGGTCTAATTTGGGGATATTAAAACATTATTGGGTTTACATAAAGTACAAACCCTTTTGCATTTAGAGAACATAACTCTAGGTTCAAAGACAAAATGCATAAATAAACCAATTATTTCAAATTTGCTTTGAAAGGCTAAAAACACTAAACTAAACCTGTTAAAATAATACTTGGTTTGCCCAAGCCAGAGTATACTTAGAGTTTAAGTTTAAAAAGAATGAACTAACAGAACTTAAGGAATACACATTATTCCATCCAATAATGAATTCTATGTCTTTTACCCCATATTACTCCACTGTACAATCTTTGAAACTCAAAAGAATAACTTCAATTTTACTTTTTAAAATGTAGCTCTTTGGTAAGAATGATTATAAATACCAGGTGAGATTCTTTTCTAGACCAACATGTGAGAACTTTCAGAAACAAAACAAATGTTAAATTTTGGTATCATCTTATTACAAAACAAACACATTTTGATGATGCTGATATCTCTCAAAATATATTTGAAATGCTTTCTTTGGAAATACACATGAAGCGTCATTAGGATATCTTCACAATTCATTTCAAAGAGTTTTATCCAGTTTAAGTACTTACTACTCAATTTTTAAAATGTTTTATTTTAGTTTCAGGGCGTACGTGTGCAGGTTTGCTATATAGGTGTATTACACAATGCTGAGGTTTGGGCTTCTAGTGAACCCATAATCAAATAGTGAATATAGTATCCAACAGGTAGTGTTTCAACCCTTGTCTCCTTCCCACTTCCCCTCTTTTGGAATCCCTAGTGTCTATTATTTCCATTTTTATGTCCATGAGTACTCATTGTTCAGCTCCCGCTTATAAAAGAACATCTGGTATTTCATTTTCTGTTTCTGAGTTAGTTCACTTAGGACAATGGCCTCCAGCTTCATCCATGTTGCTGCAAAGAACATGGTTTCATTCTATTTTTACGGCTGCATGGTATTCTATGGTGCATACATACCACATATTCTTTATCCAATCAACCATTGATGGCCACTTAGGTTGACCCCATGACTTTGCTACTGTGAATACTGCTTCAATAACAGATAAGTGCAGGTCTCTTTTTGATAAAATGATTCCCTGTCATTTGGATTGATATCTAATACTGAAACTGCTCAGTCAAGTGGTAGTTCTATTTTTAGTCCTTTGAGAAATCTCCATACTGTTTTCCATAGGAGTGGAAGTAATTTACATCCCCAGCAGTGTATAAGCATTCCTTTTCTTTTAAAACATGGCTATTTCCAAAATATTTAAATCTACACCCAAAGACAGGAATTTGCTATATTAAAATTTTCAAATGAATGTGAACCTTAAGCCCTGAAAGTTATTCCAAAAGAAGGGTTTCAAACTTGCTTTCAACAGTGGTAACGGCACTGAAAATAAAGACAGCCTCCTAAGAGTTATATGGAAAAGTATTTATTCATTTATTTAAAAAGAGAAAAAAACTACCTTTGTTTATCTCTTATACATTTTACAATCTTGACCCTTCATTTTAAACTTTAGATGTAAAAAGAATCAAAAAGAGTTTTATTTTTTTTCATTTCCCTTGAATGTTTCATTCAAATTATCTCAACTTTGGCCAGTAAAACAAAAATATTTCTTATTCTAGAAACTACAAATTTAAAATGAGTCCTATTTAACCAAGGCATACATGATACCTGTAGACCTGATTTGGGAGGGAAAGATTCTGATTTTCAGAAATGACAGAAAAAGAATTTTAATTTGGGAGAAATTATTAAGCGTCCATAAAACTTTAAATACACTCACACATAGGCAATACAAATAAATTGCTTACTCTGCTGAACTTTCAAAATGTATTTTAATCTCATTCCAAAAAGAAATAAAATTTCTAGATACAAATACATCTCATTCAAGTCACTTTTTAACATACATTCTGCAACTTAAAATATTATAAGGATTCAATATTTTCATCTTTTATAATCTCAATATATTATATATTTAATATATAATATATACACAATACATACAGGTAGTCAGCAGGTTTACAAAGTAATTTCTTTAAAGTCTGATCAGTATTGATAAATATTTTTAGCCTATTAAAAGGAACTATTTAGGATCGTAGAATAAAATAAAATATGGCAGGTCCAAACCTAATGGCAAGATTACAAATGTTCATATGGCCAGTCATTTTAAAAGAACTCTCAAGTTGGGTAGAATATGTTTTAAAACAATACTCTTGCTATTCTCAAGCAGCAGTAGTTATATATTTTAACCATATTCATCTCCATTAAATTTAAAATAACTATGCAGCTTTCTTTACTGTAATATACAGTAGCTATCTCTTCCTTTCTGTTGGATTTTATTGTTTCAAGAGTAACTAATATATTACCAACAGAAGAGACTTTAGCCCCTTTCCCTCCCCTAAAGCATGGCTCAGTTTGAAGATTGTTCTATAGGCAGCCACTATGACTATCAACAGTACCATAATACCATTAAAAGCAATCAGTAACTAGAGTCATGTGAGATGTTTCAAAGACTGCTGGAGGTTTCTGTAAACCAGGGTAATCAGAAATATTACCCTTGTAGATAGCCCTCTCCTACCAGTAAATACAAAGAGTTAAAATTCCAATGCCACAGTGTAACAGATAACAATCTATTTTGTAATTTTAAATATTACAACATTAATTCACCCTGAGAATACAGAGGAAACATTTAATACAAGACATTCTGATATGTTTTTTTTTTTTTCCATTGTATTTGCTTTCTTCTGGTTTTCATCAGCCCTTTAAGGGCACAAATATTTGAATTTAAAGTGTGATTTGGATATGCTTTTTTGTTAACTGAGATTCATGCCACAGTCAGATACTGGTGATAGAAAAGCCCAAAAAGGCTTGTAGAAAAGAGGCAAGCAGCAATCCACCAGGTCAGAAAAGACAGAAGTCCTCGAAAAAGAAGAGGAGTAAAAATATTTTTTAAGCTGCTCAGTGCCACTGTTATTTGCGTAACAGTTACCTTCATCTTCCCTTCAGCTGATGGTAATTCAGAGTAAACAGAATTGGAAAGTAGACTATTATCCGCTGGTAAGGTAGAGATAGATTCTGGATAAATTCCCCAGGAATGATTACCTAGAAAATCGAAGACACAAATACAATTTGAAGAGTAACTAATTACAAAGCTTTTCACTAAAAAAAGATCTTTACTATATTTGAAATTAACAATAAGTTTAGAGGCATAGTACATCATTTTATGTTGAAAATAAAGTAAAATAATAATCCTTCTAGATCCCTAAAAAATTAACGTGACTAGAGACTATCTGGCCTCATCAGTAAAGGTACACATAAAAGCGAAAAGTCTGATATACTTTTAATTATGTGCACTAAAAATGGGTAAAATAACAAAAACAATTTCCTCACTGTATAAGAAATGAATCAGCTAACTCTACTGGAGTGACAAGGACAGATTCAAAAACTTCTGAGAAATATTTTCTACTTCTAGAATATCAAAGTAAATTCCCTTCTCAGAAATTATCTATGATTTCAATATGAAAACCTATTAATAGCTTCCAGAAATTTTTTTCATCATATACTTTCCTATAGTGGACAGGATATGAGTCACTTAATTTACAACTGAACTACTTATCCCTTTACATTCCATAGATTCTTACAGGGCACCTACACCTATCATCAGGTCTATAACACCCACTAAGTCCATGAAGCCAAATAATACTTTTAGTTCCTTTGGGTTTCTTAAACCCTAACAGTGGCTGATTGCCTGATCCAAAAAAGGGGAAATGATTAATGCAGTAATAGATACTTCTTGAATAACACCACATGGGGACTTGATAGCTTAATGAAGAGACTTGTAGAATTTTGTACTGAGAAATCTTCACCCTTTCAATGTAAGTTATCTAAACTAGAACTTACCATAGCATTCTGTAATTTATTTAAGTTTATAATTGCCTTGTAATAATATAAATATTAGGCAATAACAAAACCTTAAATCATTTTCTTATAACACAAAAGTAACTAAGATCAACAGTGCTTACTAAAGTTACTGGGTAAATCTGAGACTTAACCTTTAGTAAACAATTCTTGAAGACAAAGCATAAAGTTATAAAACCATGGGTCTGAGTTTTCAAAATGAAAATGATAAATCACCTTCCACAGCTAAAACTTTCCCATGGTTCTTTTTCACAGCTTTTAAAAAGAGAAACAATTTTAAGAGTTGCATTTCTTTGTTGGTGACAAAGAGCCTTATTAATTATAGGTAGAAAGTAAAAGATGCTTCCTAGTTGCCAGGGCATGCCTACCTAGTGTTTTCAAAAGCAGAGTTGTGTGAAGCAGCATTACCAGAGGCGCCACATACTGCAGTGCAATGACACAAAGATAATAAAAGACTCGAGCCACCTGCAACCAACAACATTCTTAAGTGTCTAATACAACTGACATGTTAAGAGTGAATTAAACTTTCATATAATTGTCATACCAAAATGTTTAAGAGATAATCCTTTCACAAGAAGGAAGCTAAATGTCAATGCTAAATGTCCCCAAAATGACTCTGGAAAGGCTCAATTTGAAGACAAGTTTTTGGAATGTGAGAACATTAAAATAGATTCCTTAAAAATAATTCTTAAATGATGTATATATATTGGAGAAAATAATGACTAAGATTCAAATGGTATACATTTACTCATATTTCAAAGATAAAACAAAACATAAGGGCATCTACCTAAAATATCCAACTAAATAACAATAGTAGGCAGAGTCACATATGAGCATAAATCCCTCATAAATAAAAAATTAAGTCCCCATTCTACATGAACATATTTGAAGTCAAACTATGGAAAATATAAAAATATATAAAAGGTAAAACAGAAAAAAAGTTGTCTAAATCTTAATAAATGCCTCTAACTATGGAGGTGAATAAAAAACTGGAGCTGGTTGGGCATGGTGGCTCAGCCTGTAATCCCAATCCTTTGGGAGGTGATGCAGGAGGATTGCTTGAGCTCAGGAGTTCAAGACAAGCCTGGGCTATATAGAGAGATGCTGTCTCTACAAAAAAATAAAATAACAATCATAATAGTAAAAGGAGGTAGCTAAAACTACCTCTCTTAAAGAAAGATACAATCAAGTTATTGGTCCATTATAGTGGCAGATGGATTCCTTGTCCTTTTCTTCTGTGGAAGCCTCAAATAAATTAAATACTTACATTTCATATTCAAGTACATTTAAAATGAATAAATGTAGCCACTAAAAGTAGTATTTCCTACTCTTTAAGTCTTAAAGTCTGGACAATATGTTATAACGTCTTTCAAATCAATTAGAAGGGTCCCATTTAGCAATATTAGGCATAAAACAGCTTTGTACCACCCACTGTATGACACCAAGCACTTAAGGCAGGAAGAAGAATTAAGACCCCTTCCTTCACGTGGCACCAAAATCAGAAAAAGGTCTCTTTGATATCTGTTAGCTTAAGATTGTTTTGTTTATTTACAATAAGAATAAGACGGGTTGAAATACTATCTACTAAAGGAAACCAATATTTTTCTTTTTTCTTAAAGTGTGGTTTTTGCTATTTTTCATTTTGACTAGGGTATAAAACTTACCATTTTCTGTAGCTCAACCGTACTTATTCGCCCTGCTTCTTTCTTCATCTGATCCACACATTTTTGGGCTAAATTTAAATAAGCTTGCAGGTGACTACGCATCATGGCCAACCGCAAAGCACACAGCAGGATTATTAACCAGAGTCGCAGAGTATCAAATGTGGCTTCTGTCATTCTACAGATCAAAAAGTTGATATAGTGCTCTCAAAGACAACAATATGCTAGCATGCTTGTTGTATGTTAATGCTCACCATATAAAATATAAGAAGTCTATACTTAGTAACAGTTAGACACACAAAAGAATCTGACTCTGCCATAGACTTATCTGTATAATACTTTCACTTGAATAACAGAACTAGATAAATGTATTATGAAAGCATAAGAAGTTAACAGGTATCTAGAAGAAAAAAGTAGAGCAATACATGATACCCTTTTCTCTATATACCCTCCTCCATGGATAAAAACTGGCTGTGACATGAAAAGAGAAGTTGGGGAAAGCAAGAAAACTGCAGGGATTGCCTGTGGGACTAATCAAGTCAATCACCAAACATCATTGGGTACAGCTTTGCCTGATCATACACCTATTTGCATGGGATCTTCCACTCTGCTGAGCCTTCACTTGGGACCACTGGAAAATCAAAACTTCTGATACATTATGAAAGATATCAGATGCCTGAAATTCCTCTACAACAATTCATTTAACTTGTTATGCATTGAAGCTGGCTTGGTTCTAAGCAATTCCTCAAACTTAAGGTTAGGATTCTAGGTGAAAACACATAACGTAAAGACATCATTTCGCACTTTGGGAGGCCGAGACGGGCGGATCATGAGGTCAGCAGATCGAGACCACCTGGCTAACATGATGAAACCCCGTCTCTACTAAAAAAAAAAAAATACGAAAAACTAGCCGGGCGAGGTGGCGGGCACCTGTAGTCCCAGCTACCCGGGAGGCTGAGGCAGGAGAATGGCGTAAACCCGGGAGGCGGAGCTTGCAGTGAGCTGAGATCTGGCCACTGCACTCCAGCCTGGGCGACAGAGCGAGACTCCGACTCAAAAAAAAAAAAAAAAAAAAAAAAAGACATCGTTTCAGAAACCAGATCACTGATGAGGGCTGCTTAAAGAATTTTCGAAAAAAGAGATAACTTCTGATGTCCTTTTGGTGTTTAATGTTTTTAAAAGACCATGGGTTTCTGCTCTGATGAAGAAATACATTGCAAGTAATTTGAATGTAGTAACTAGACCACCCTTGGCATCTAGTCTTATATCTAGTACCTACCAGGCACTTAATATGACCGTTGTAATGCACAGACTGATTTGCCAGGTAAAACCTGGAACTGAGAAGGGTCTCCCTGAAATTCGTAAGAACATGAGGGTAGAATGGATGCATATAAAGAAGAACAAATGAGAAAAGATTTACAAAAAAAAAAAAAAAAAAAAACCTCATAACTAAAACTGTAATATAGGAAAATTTGAAGTGTAATATTTTGCTCGAACTGTTAATGAAATGGAGTTAAGAAATGGGAATGGGACAAAGGCTTTACTTTATATACTCTCTCTTTTTATTAAGTCACGAGGGGACATGGACATAAAATTCCAATGGAAATGCACTGTTCGCTAAGAAAGATAAAGGCGTAACATTTTATCAACATGTTTCCACTACAATGAACAATGAGATTAGGGAGCCATCATGTGAGGGTAACAGTACATAAGCCTACCCACAGCCTTGACCCTTTCCTGGGGACCTATAAACAATACTGTGCTCCCTCCAGTTGTGCAACAAGGACAACTAACTGGGAGCAGCCTGAAGACAGCTATTTCACAGCCTTTGAGGATAACAGGTAATGTGAATGAAAGGAATAGAAGGTAGTGAACTAGAAAATTATTTGCTCAGTTTATGGGTTCAGGATTTAGGATGATAGTCATTAAATACTACTTTCTAATTAGATTATTCAGTATCATCATAAATACCTGAAAAATTGATCTGATAGAGTATCTCAAGAAGGAGCATGAGGAGGGGCTTAAAAGTACACAGGTAAAGCACAGGCAGAAGAAATCACCCTAAATTCCTGATGCCATTCTGAGCTTTCCTGTGTATGCTGTGTTCTTTTTATGAGGTTATAAGCACACATGGACTCTGTTTACCAATATTTTATTTTTTTTCAATGCTTTATCAGAACACATGATGGACTCAAATACATTTCTGGGTTGAAACTACATTATACCATATTTTTTGCTTCTGATTACAAACACCTTTCCACAAATCAATTTGTCTGTGACAGAAGAAGAACCTGTCACTTCATTTTTCCTTCATCCTACCCTCTTTGATGGGAAGCCATTTTTCACAATCTACCATATGCACTTTAGATTTTTAACAAAAATTAAAAACTGCCTCTAATAACCATGAATTCAAATTAAAGAATAATAAAAGAGAGCAGAGGTAAAACCATAGAAAGAGAACCTCAGGTCTTTATGTACAAACCACATTTTTCCTATAATTTAATATACACACAAGGGAAAAGTTCCTTATTCCCATTTCCATTAAATAAAGTATTCACTACTAATGAATCCACATGTAATTTAATCAGACTGGAAGTGGGAAGTGAATGTTGGTATAACTACCAAGTGTTTTATGTACACACGATTTGGCTGAATAACCTTAGTCAAATTATTTAACCTCTGAGCCTGTTATTTCATTTATAAAACAGGATGAGAACAACAACATATGCACAATTACCATAAAAAGATACAATATGTAAAGTATCAATATCTCACATAATAGCTGGTATAAGTGTATCATAAATGCTAGTTTCCTTATTTTCTCATTAACTAAGGCAAATATAAAATCAGAGAACATAATGACAGGAGTATGAAATCCAGTTTCCACGACCAAATTTCAAGGAAGGATTGGGAATGCTTTCAGTATCAAAGATATGAATTAGCAGTTTCTCTGAGATTTTTCTAGAACCCTAGGATCCTTAGAATTACTCTTCAATACTTAAGGAATCTGTCAAGTTAAAATTACCATTAAGGTAATTAGTGTATATCGGCAGGGGGGAAGCATTACTTTTTCAGTGGCTATTTCCCGGGTTCAACAGGATTAAATCTAAAAAGAAAAATTATCATGGTCATCACTGATTTTATATATACTCCAAGAAAAACTGGTACCAGGATCTAAAAGAAGTACACAATATAAAAGGTACACTGCAGAGTCAACGACTAGTCAAGTATTTCTATTTTAATTCTGATGAGGCAAAGCAGTGAAAAGAACATTTATTAAGCACTTAATTCCAGCTGGTTGCATTACATGTGTTCTTTCATTTACTCCAATGATAACCTTGTGAGGTAGATACTATTATCTTCGTCTTCCACATGGGGAAACAGAGGCTCAGTGGTTAAGTAATCTGCCTCAAGCAAAGATTTTAGTGAGGAGGAGAGCTGGAGTTTGGACCAGTTCTGTCTGAAACTTTCTATTACTCTAACAGTTCTACAAGGCTAACATATCAAGTCTAGTTATTAACGCCTATTAATAAACTGTTTGTTTCCTCACCATCTTCTGCTAAAATATAGTTGCCTAACTATAGAACTATAAACTAGTATTAGATAATAATGTTAAGGTATTAGTATTAGATAATTTTGTTAGGTACGATGATATTATTGTTATATAGGAAAATATCCTTATTTTTTTTAGAGGTGCAAGCTAAAGTATGAAGGGATAAAACTGCTATGTCTCTAATTTAATTCAAAAATGCTTCATCAAAAAACAAAATAAAAAATGGATGAAGCAAATATGGAAAATGTTAACAACTGTCAAATATAGGGGTTGAGTATATGAGTTTCCATTTACACTACTTTTTTTCTCCATAATTTTCACAATTAAAACAAAAGAACTCCAGAAAGTATCTAAACAATAGGCACAATGACAACAGAAAAATGATGATGACTGGACGTAAAGAAGAGAAAAAAACAGTGTATAAGATAATATTAGTGCAAAGTAATAATCATTAACTAATAAAGATCACAAAAATGTTAAATGATGCTCTGTAGCTTCAATTTTCTAACACATCTTTTAGCATTCCTATTAATGTCTGAAAAATACAGTGTCCTGATTTTATCACTGAAAAACAAATACAGTAAATAACATTTAGTAAAGCAGTTTTGGTGATAAAAATCAGCTTTCAAATGCCCATACTTACAAAGGGATACTTTCTTTACCCAGTGGTGGGTTCATAATGTAGTCTTTGGTGATTGGTTTTACCCAGAGCAGAACCATAAATAAAGGTGCCAGGAAGTTGATATGAAGTAATGTTCTGAAAATATGTAAGAAATAAATATAAAAATTCAGAAACAACATGTGCTAATAAACTACAGAAGCTTGGGTCTTACTAAAATGGAGGTAGGAACTTATTTGCAATATTCTACTACTTACGGTACTACTGTCACCATCATTTTATATTTATCATTATGATTTAACACTGATTTGAGCCTGTGAGAAATTATGTCATTATCTTAATTTTTCAAATGAGAACATTTAGATGCAGAAAAGTTAAATGACTTGCTCTTGGCAATAACAGGCCAGAGGTAAATATAGGACTAAAATTCAGATTTGTTCACTTCTATTCTAGTATTCTTTAGTAATCCCATACTTTATTCCTGATTTAATAAGCAGGATTTAATGATTCTAACTTTAGATAGTCAATGAATCTAATGGATTTTCAGTACAGAAGAGTCATCTGATACTTTCTAGTGCAAATGAAACAAAGTGTCTCCTCATTATCTACAAGTAAATGATAGTGATTAGCCAGGTCCATATGACTAGAAGGCATATGGCAGATGGAACCTACTCCAACAACCTGCAACCGAGGAACCTTTCAATGTGTAATGATCATGTATAATTTTTAATTTCCATTGTTAAAATCATAAGTGATTCCACATTTTAATTTCTTTTTGAATGAGTATGAACACACTTGAAATAATTTCCCTATCCCATATATATATATCAAAAAAATTTGCATTACTCCTGACAAGGCAATATACCTAATACAGCAAAGGTTTCAGGTCTGCACTATAACTTCATTGTTAATTGTCCAAGTTTGTACCCTACAGAGACAGATGGCTGATGAACATTTTTGTTATTTCAGAAAAAAGGCAAATTCTTCACACATTTTATTACCATAAACTGCTTTCATTATCAACCACACTTAAGAGCTAAACTGGAGGATTCAAAATACACACAAACACCACATTTTAAAGTATTACTACACAGGCAAATGACAGGGATCTGTGTGAGTGAACAGGGCTGGGTCAGGAAGCCATGAACACCTGACAGGGAAAGGCAGAACTCTCGCTCTAACCTCTGATATGAAAACAGGTCCTAGTGCCTGGCCATGGGGGTGAAGAGAATGCTGCTCTTTGTGCCAGTCATGTTATTCTCACAACAGAACTAGCTTGCCCACACCCTTATATCAAGGCAGAGTGCTACAACACAATGAGGGGCTGCAATAACTGAAAATAAAACCCCAAATCCCCAAAGGGAAAAAATCTTAAAATGAAGCCACATTTTACTAAAAAGGGCACTAAAATGTGTGCTCCACCCCCAACCACCACTAAATGCTTGAAATGTTTTTATAAAGTGATTCTTTCATCCCACAGCCTGGGTAAACCATCGGATGTGGGGAAGAAAGAAGCAGTATTAGGTATGCAGTGTTGCTAGGGAACACTCTAGTATCAAGGAGCAGCCCACAGCGGTTTCAGTAGCTTGTGAAGGGCTCCCCTCCACCCACCCTTTTCAGCTTATTTAAATCATAACACTGGGGTTAGTGGACTGAAGTGTGTGTGTAGAGAGGAGGGGGAGAACCAGGTTTTGTCTTAAAAGAAGCCATTAGGGATACGGGTGGTGGGAGAAAGGCAGGATGTAGCCAAAAGCACGCTGAGTAAAAGAAGGAAAAAAAAAAAAAAAAAAAAAAAGAAGGATGAAGGAGTGTGTAGTGGAAGGTGACAATAGGTAAACACACATATAAAGCATATGTAGAAAAATGGAAGTGAGGTTAAAAAAAAAAAGACAGTCAAAATTAAATTAAAGGGAAATGACATAGGTAACAGAGACAAGAATGTGCAAAGACTAAAGACTCAGCCTCATTAAAAATAGGTTTTAAAGAATAGAAATGTTAGGAAATAAGATCACCCAGAGAAACTTAATGATTATAAATACACATATCAAAATGAAATATTCTCAAGTTGGGCTTCTACTGCAAAACAAAACGATGAGACAGGAACTTTGATCTGAATATGAGTTGAAGTAGATATAAGCCTATCTTTCTGCCAAGATGTCTACATCAACAACAAAAAAAATCTGTGACAACCACAAAGAATACAGTAAATGGGCTTTGAACTACATATGAAGATGAAATATGACTTGTCCAAACGTAGAATTTCAGAACTAAAATAGAATTTGGTAGTTAGAAGTAATGTACAACATATAACATTGTAGAGTATTAACAATTCCAAACTAATGTATTATTTTAATAAGAGTCAATAAGCAGGTCAATAACTTAAGGAAAACAAACATCTCTTACATACAACTTTAAGTTTTAAAATGTTTTTAAATAAAATTTTACATTAAAAAGTTAATTTAAATAGATTCATATAAAAACTTAAAACAATATTTTAAAGTAAAATGATCTTATTTTTTAAGGGAAATTTCTATGGAGCCTCAGTTTAGTTGTAGAGATTGCAATGTAAGCCCCTGAATTAGAAAGAACATAAATTTTGAGATTTTCATTTTAACAGGCAAGACAAATTTAGTAATTGATGGTGTATCTTTTTAAATACAAGACTTAAAATTTAGAAGCAAATAAAAGAAACTTGCTTATAGTTGAAAGAGGAAGTAATGTGACATCAAATAGTTATTTATTAATTTTCAATACAATAATTTATGATTACATTACAATATTATACCTTCATTAAGATGGAAAACATATATTTATCTGCATGTGCTTATGTACATTTTCCGCTTACTGTGTAATTTTTTCTGTTGCCAAATTCAGGGCATCCAGATGCATTTGAGCCAGCCGTAATCCAGGAAATGTCAAAAAAGCCCCAATGAGTGAACAGAAAATAGCCAGGAAAAATTTGAAAGTAAGTTTTGAAACAGGACTCCTAAAAATAAAATTTTTAAAGAAGCTGATAAATTTTTATAATTAGCTTTCGAAGAATTTCCTTTCTTCTAATCAATTCTGTTACAAACAACAATAACAGTAAAACAAAGCAAATTTCTACAAAAAGATTGCTATTATTCAAGTACCTATAATGGATTCTGGTGAACTGTAAACTAAATGAGGCATCTCTTTAGTCGCAGTCACAACAACCTAACTTACACATTCAACAAGGAATTGATATATAACTTGGATAGAAATTTAATCTTTTGAGGGAGATGAATTTAAGAAATGCAAATTTATATAAGAATTCTATGAAAGATACTAACTTTATATAGTCATAAAAATTATGAGTAAGGATGTTTCTAGAAGTGACAGTCCAACTTAAAACTCTTTACTAATTTAAAACAGCTATAGTAAATACTGCTTTATTAAAAATATAAAATGTTAAATTTAAATAATGCTTAATTTTTCAAAGACTTACTGAGATTCTAAACCTTGCTTTTCAAGAAACTGCATCGCACTGTCTGAAAAATTTGTAAACCCTGTAGGAAAAAAAAAAACAAAAACAGATTACTCTATCACAGATGTGAAATATAGAATCTTTCTGTGGAAATAAAATGCTAGAAAACAGAGCATCTTAAATGTTGAAGTGACTAGCTTAGTTCTTTCATGTGTTAATTAGTATGCCATAACGCAATAAAATTTGGTTATTAGCAGGAACAGGCTTTGAAAACATCCCTTTGATATTTGTACATTCCATGAGTGTGCATAAAATTTGCATTAATTCTTTAACTATGTGAGTAAACTTTAGCATTACAGAAACTTATTTAACTGTAAGGAAAAAAATGAGACAGTATTTTTGGAAAACATATTAATTAAAAACTTAGCTAAAACAAAAGCAAAAAAAGAAGATCTTAATTAAGAATAATAAAGGTTAATTATTTAGAACATTACAGAGTATACACTTTAAATTTAATTTTAAATATTTATCAGATATAAAACTTAAATACTGAGGTCAAAAATATTAGCATTAGATAAAGCAAAATTGATTTTTAAAGTTGTATGAAACTATTACCTGTTTCAAGTCCAAATTCCAGATAATTTTCTGTTACAATCAATACTGCCATTGCTTTGACAAAGAAAAAAAATCCAAAGGTGACACAAACAGATCTTTCACCACCATCTTCTACTTTAAAATAGTGTGTAGTTAATGAAAATAGAACTTTGCTGCAGAAGGAAAAGTTCAGGAAAAACCACAATAACTTTATGGGAACTATACACAACGATCTTGATAGGACTTGATTCCAATAAAATCTGGCTACAACATTTATTTCTAAGTGGAGTTTATAACATTTTTAAATTAAGGAAAAGAGCACCCACATACTAAGTTATAGCTAGGGAATGTATTTCTAGTTTATCTCAAATTTTACTAGAAGATTATTTCAAGATTTTTATGCAATACGTTCTCAGCGACATGAAAAGCCAGGGTAGAGGTTATTCTAGAGAACTGTCTTTATTAGGCATGTCTGTTAAACCAGTTTACATTTATAATTAAACACATAACACAGGAATCATCCATAATAATTCAACAAGTTAAAACTTGAGAATTTTACTAGTAGCTATTGTTGATCTGTAGTATGAAAACTAAATGTCTGGGATCACCACTTCACATTAGTATTAAGCGAAAATCTTTAGAGAAAACAAGTTCCAACTGAGTATTCAAACACAGCCAAAGTTTCAACATGCTCATCTATTAAAATAGGCTGAAGAGATTATCTTATCTGAACCATCCCGACACACACACAAATTGATTTAATCAAGGTTAAATCAGTGCGTGGCCCAAAGCTAGAACTCAGATCTCCATTATACACCAAATTGTTCTCCTTGAAATTGCAAAACAAACAAAATAAGGTGCTTGGCAAACAAACCTAGAAAAGCAACCTTTACGTAAACTTTATGTCAAGCATGGAAAATAACAGCTATCATTTAGTACTTGCCATGTGCCGGGCAATACCAATTAACTTTTAATTCTCACATTAACCACATTATTATTGCTACTTTACAGACATTTAAAAAAACTTAAAAAAACAAAACAAAACAAACTGTGGGCCAGGCGCACTGGCTCACGCCTATAAACTCCCAACACTTTGGGAGGTCTAGGTGAGCAGATCGCCTGAAGTCAGGAGTTTGAGACCAGCCTGGCAAACATGGCGAAACCCCATGTCTACCTAAAATGCAAAAATTAGCCAGGCATGGTGGCACATGCCTGCAGTCCCAGCTACTCGGGAGGCTGAGGCAGGAGAGTTGCTTGAATCCAGGAGATGGAAGTTGCAGTGAGTCTAGATAGCAGCATTGCACTCCAGCCTGGGCAACAAGAGTAAAACTCTGTCTCAGAAAACAATCAAACAGACAACAACAACAAAAAACAACTGTGGCAGAGAGGTAAAAGTAAAAACCTCAAAATCACAGCTAGATTAGAGAAAATTGAGATTTAAAACTAGACAGTCTGGATCTAGAATCTGTGCACTTAACAATTGATTATATTGCCTCTAAAAAACTGTACATAGCACCTAAGTCAATGTGGTACTTATAGCAGTAACACATAAAATCTTTTCAAAATAGAACGCCCTGACAGAAGTAAAGAATTAAAACATTCTCATCATCAAAGGAATCCTTTCATATATATCTTATACACACAGTCTGAAGGTAATTTTATACAATATATTTAATAATTTTATGCATGAAGAAAATTTTGACTGCATTTTAACTGCAATCTCTCACTTGAGGCCAGGTGTAAAGTTTTCTACTTCTGGTGTCATGCCAGTACTGGTAAAGTTTCAGATTTTGGAGCATTTTGGATTTTGGACTGTAATGTTCAACCTGTATCAAACAATACAGGTCCATCCATCTCTTTCTTGGCATTATAACAAAGAGCTTACATATTAGAAGAGGACAAAGAAAGATGAATATAGTCAAGCTGCAAAACCACAACTGAATTGCTTTTAAGATACAGCGATGATCTCTAATAGCTTAAATGCTTTAAACCCAGGTTTGAAAAACACTGCTTTATTTTTACTGAAAATGTTTACTAGAATCTATAAGGAGACAATTTCCAACTTCTTTGCTTACACTGAAAAACAAAATAGTATCTTTGGCCAAAAGTGGTACCAAATCATCAGAATAAAATTTCCCAAAAATTACACCTACCACTGCACTTTGTTATCCTAGAATACTGAAATTACAAAATATGTCAACACTAAAGGAAAACAAAATTATATGCAGCCTGATCCAGACATGAAGCATGATCTTGCACTTATCACTAATGCTTAACAGTCCCACACCACAAATGCCTAAAATGGTATAATCACTGCATCCTCACTTCATATTGCATACTGGATAAATCTTAAAAACGAAATTATTTATTGAGTTCCATATTAGAACACCATCTCCCAATAACCCATATGTAATACTATGATCTGGCCACACCCACATGTTCAAGTTTTCATTCCATAGTCCCCAAATCTTCACCTTAATCAGAATAGTGTACTTACCATCTCCTGAGTGTCATCACTACACTGTCTTCGATCATTATCTATCATCTGAACTGCCCTCTTCCCTCCTCCTACCTAATCTAAGACTCAACAAAAGCTCCACATCTTTCATGATACTTACCATTACCTTCTCAGCTGAGGCCATTCTTTTCCTCTTTGGAACTTATTGTATCACTTACTAATATAATTCACTTGCCATGTAGTCAATATACTATTTTAAACTATAGTGTGACCAAGTTGTAAAGAAAGCATTCTCTAGACCTAGAGTGTTTGGCTTAATCCTCGTTCTACTCTTACTAAACTACGTGATCTTCTACATGAAAATTAATTTCTCCGTGTCTCAGTTTCTTCATTTGTAAAATGCCGCCACCACAATCCACAACCTCACAGGGTTATTTTGAAAATCAAAGATTAAATCATCCTAGTTCTCAGCAACAACTTAAATGTTTTCTAGATAACTGAATTAAATATTTAACATGTAATACCAAAACTATGGGAATGTATACAAAAACATATGGATCAATACAATACAAACAGATAATGATACCATTCCTGATTGTGTTTAAATCTTTAAAATTCGATAATTTAATTTAAGAGGTACAAGATTAAGAAGTATACAGGCAGTGATGTGGTATGCACTGACTTCTATGTAAGTGGCAACTGCGCTCACAACTCTCCACTGATTTTCTTTCTATGCAGCCAGACCACTCTGACTCCAGCAGAAGACTAAGATTTTTGCCTCTGAAGAAACTGAACCTGAGGCACAGGAGAGTACAGATTTAGTCAACTGCATCAAAAACAGGATGATCAGGTGAAAGTCTACACTCAAAGGTAGTACTCACCTTGGAAACATGTGTAGCAGGTTTGTACACTCCAGGCAGGAGATTAAGAGATTCTCCTCTAGAGAAACTGAAAAGCCTCAAGGAAAAGACCAATAAACAATGACACTTTGGGCTACCTAAAATAAAGCTGGCTTTAGTATTACCAAGGTATTCCTTAGTGAAACTAACCAAGCCCTAATTATATACAGAGCTTCCAATCAGCTTTTAATGGCCATCTCTTAAAAATGAAAGGAATCCTCAGACATTAAAAAAGGAATTGGAAAACATATTCTATAAAAGACCAGATAGTAAATACTTTAGGCTTTGTGGTCCATATGCAGTCTCTGTAGCATATTCTTCTGCCTACTTTGTTCCCCTAATACTTTAACAATGTCAAAAAGCCATTCTTAGCTCAAGAGCTGTACAAAAACAGGCTGCAACCCAGATACTGCAAGTCATAGTTAGGCAATATCTGTATTAGAGCATCACATCTTATTTAAAAAAAGAAAGAGCTAAAATCAGCAACAGAAAAAAAGTAACTTCAAGAAAAAAAGAGATGATAAAGGCAGCAGAATGAAGTTTAGATATATAACTATATATACAGAAACAGATACACACATTTTTATTTAGGTATTTATAAACATAGGATATGTATATTTCATAAAGCTAGACAAAGATAAATGCATCTTTGAAATAAGAGCAGGATGCTATGAAAAAGGAATGGTTAGGCATCAACAAGAAACAGGACAGGAAAAATAAGAAAAAAAAATTAAAAGTTCCATCAAGCAGAACAAAAAGACAAAATGAAAAGTAAGACAAGGCCAGGCATGGTGGCTCACACCTGTAATCCCAGCACTTTGGGAGGCTAAGGTGGGCAGATCACCTGGGGTTAGGAGTTCAAGACCAGCCTGGCCAACAGGGCAAAATCCTGTCTCTACTGAACATACAAAAATTAGCCGGGCATGGTGGTGGGCGCCTGTAATTCCAGCTAACTCGGGAGGCTGAGGAAGGAGAATTGCTTGAATCCAGGACATGGACGTTGCAGTGAGCCAAGATCGCACCACTGCACGCCAGCCTGGTAACAGAGCAAGATTCCATCAAAAAAAAAAAAAGAAAGAAAGAAAGAAAGAAAAAAAGACAAAAGCTGATGAGAGGTTAATCCAGAACATACATCTGACTAACAAATGTGAGACAGAGAAAGAAAATGGGAGTGGAGGGACAGAGAGAAGAAATTCTCAAAGACATAATCAAAGAAATTTTCTAAACTTGATGTTTCCAAATTAAAGAGCCTACCAAAAGCTCACCACAAAGAAGTAAAAAAGATCCTCATGAGGTACATCATCATGAACCTTCAGAAACAAGACCAACCAAGAGACAACTGTAAAAGTTTCCTCAGAAGAACAATAAAGCAAAATTAGGTATATGCAAAAGACTAAATATCACCATAAGTAAATCTTTTTTTTTTTTTTTTTGAGACGGAGTCTCGCTCTGTCACCCAGGCTGGAGTGCAGTGGCCGGATCTCAGCTCACTGCAAGCTCCGCTTCCCAGGTTTATGCCATTCTCCTGCCTCAGCCTCCCGAGTAGCTGGTACTACAGGCGCCCGCCACCTCGCCCGGCTAGTTTTTCGTATTTTTAAAATAGAGACGGGGTTTCACCGTGTTAGCCAGGATGGTCTCGATCTCCTGACCTCATGATCCACCCGTCTGGGCCTCCCAAAGTGCGGGGATTACAGGCTTGAGCCACCGCGCCCGGCCCACCATAAGTAATTCTTAATAGCATTTTTCAAGGTTGAGGACAATGGAGCAATGCCTTCAAAATTATGAAGAAAAATACAGATAACCTAGAATTCTATAA